ATTATAATGTCCTTCCCAAATTGGCTGCTTGTCAGCCTTCAAGATGACACTGCTACTGAAATTATCATTGTGGTTTCACATCTTCTCAGTTGTGTGAATTGCAGCTGAACTCAGCTCATGGCAGTAGCATTATGCATAGTTGCCAAAATTTTATTTTTCTTAACATCTTAGCAGAGCAGTTGCTTTATTTACCATAGGAAAAGTTCTCCCTTGTAGATGTCTATGGAGATTCTCAGTCATCCAAGTCATGGTTGTCCCAAAGGTGATTTTTTTCAAGTGGCAACTGGACTTCCCGGTTTTTCTTTGAAGACATTTTGCTTCTTATCCAAGAAGCTTTTTCAGAGCTGACCAGAAAGTCCAGTTGCCTCTTAGAAAAGCACCTTTGGGTCTCCCTTGTAGAATTCAGATGCTTCACAGAAGCTACCTTAGCATCATTCAGTGCAGTACTAATATCTGTTTATTTCAGATTGGTATTATTTAGATTTCTTTAGAAGTTTAAGCACTGGAATATATTTGCATGAACTGTCAGAGTAGGATAATTGTGGAGAATGTACAAGCGCTACAGAATCTAATTAGATTATTTTAGGTAATTATGGACTCGGTTTAATTATCTGTTAATTCCCCTCATCTTTTTGTAATGATACCTGATTTATATTTCACTTTCTCCAAAATATGGTAATCCAGACCTGTTGCAATTGGATTCTTCTACTTCTATTCAGTGGGTGCTTAGATAACTGCCTCAATGACAGCACTTCCTTTATTTCCCTCATAGGTATTTTAAGAAACAGTCTGAGAGATGTATGTACACACACACACACACACACAAAATCTGGAGGTTTTCAATCCCTGAGAAAAAGGCAGGTTTAGTTTTAAGGCCAAGATGGCTATTTGAGCATGTATCAACATTAAAATGAGTCAATAGCAACCAGGCAGTGTATCAAGGAATTCTCTGCATAGCTTACAGAAAGGAAGTCACTTGTAAACTGTATATATTTAAAGGAGTTAGATAAACCCTAATGTCATAAAACAGAACTTGAAAGCTGTGATATTCAGCCATATAAACAAAAGCTGCCTTTCACTAGATATTTTTACAATTGAAGTAAAACAACAAATTTTGTTTGAGAGGTTGACCCATCTCATCGGACTGTTTTGAACCTTCTCTGCATGGACTTTCAAAATTGCCTTGACAGGTCCCTGAAAAATTACTTTGGGTCCATGACATATGAGATGTTATTTATTTGTTTTCTATAGCTGCTCATCTCAACAAGGGACTCTAGGCAGCACACACATTATAAACTGTAAAAAAAAAAATTAAAACAATTAATACAATTTGTAAGAAGAGCAACAAGCAAGTTTGTGAAATCACATCTCTTTCTATTTTCTCCCTGAATTATGCACAAGAAATAGAATGGTTCTTCAGCACTCAGTAATGTCAGAATTCTATGGCCTATACATGAAGTCACCAATTAATACCATCAAGAATGTGGTGATGAATATATACCCTGGATATGTAATAGAATTCCAGCTGCCCCTGACTCATCCAGAATCTTTAAAGATTAAGGACACTAGAATCTCCAATAATGGGCATCCTATGTGGTTTTGCACCCAAGCATTTACCAGGGCCAACCTAAATAGGAGAATTATAGGAAGCCAGGCAGCATACAAATTTAATAACAAAATAAAATATACAAGAAATCTACATTTTGCATTGCTGTTATAAAGTTGCATGAAATTACTGTATATAGGTCTATAGATCTTTTCCCCACTGAATTGAGAGAAACAAATATTAAAAAAACACAGAGTATCAATCAAGTGAAATTGGTTTTGAATATTCCTTATGCCTAGCAGATTAAAGGAAATTTTTACTGTCAGCTTTCTCATATGGAAACCATATCTAAATTAGAATAAACTTGTCTGAGAAAGATAAAATTCCCAAACAAGAGGGAAAAATCAACAGCAGACAGTGATATATTATACTGCAGAAACAACCACTTAAAAGCATATATGACATTATACATAACACCCAATGCTTCCAGATTATTATTTTTAAAAATTATTATATGAGACTTCCCTCTGAATAAACATTTCACATTTATCTTTTCTTTGATTACTTTGGAAGAAAGGAGAGGAGGAAACCGAACTTCTAATCCACATCACTGTTACTAAGCTAAAAACTAAAGTAGATAAATACAATGCTCACTTTTATTAACTTGGAACAACAATAATAAAAGGATTTGTTCTTTTGTACTAATTCATCCTATAAAATAAGTGAAATAAACACACACATAAAGGTCCACTATTGATTATCTGCACATGGGTTCAACTGAAATCAATATGAAAAATTAACTAGTTTTTCACAACTGCTTTCTATGGGATTTAAGTGCAGCTTTATTTGTTCCATGAAATGTAGAGGTCACCTGATTCCAGTTGACTATGGCCAGCTTAGAATTTTAAAAGGAAGAGGAAAAAATAAAAACATAAAACACAGTAAAAGAACCATGCATATACAAGGAGGAAAAAAAATCAATACAAAGAAAAACAACCAATAGGCTCAACCCCCACTCTTCCTCAAGGTCTGCCAGTTTTTTTTTTTTACAGGTGTTTTGAAATATCATCAGAATGGACTCATATGCATCCCTAGGACAGTGGGGTTCCAGAGGACAGCCATTGCAATAGAGAAGGGCCACTTCTGGGATCTCATCAGATGCTTTTAAATTAGACTATTAACTGAGACCTCCTAGGCATCACAAAAGCATCAATTCTTTTCCTTCCTTATGTCATCAGCAGGATGGTTTTGATAGCATATGAGATTTCCTTATTCGCACTGAAGCACCGAAGGATTAACATGAATGGCATGACTGAAATGGAAAATATCTGGAACTGGAAGATTCTTTCTCTCATGGGCTGGAAATATTTTTAATGGGAACCATTCAAGAATCTCTGAAATGTGCAATCTCACAAAATGCATGTTGTGATGTTGTTACACACAATTTCAATGCTATTGTGGACAGCAGTCCATGAAATATTTCAGAATGGAGGCAGTGAAATTTTGAGCATAATAAAAAATTGTGCATATTAGCTAGGTTTTTTTAAGAATATGGGTGTTTGAATAGCTATATACTGAACAGCACAGAATTCTGGCATATAGCTACTATTTTGATAAGGCTGTTTTACTTAATTTCTCATTTATTGATTTATCACATTTTCACTCTTTTCATGATCTCTGTAACATTCCCAAAGTGTGTATGTAAAATACATATGTATATTCCTTCTTCATTTGTAGAGATTTTACTTAATAGTACATGTAATGATTCTACAATGAAAATTGTAACTGTAAAGCCACACAGTGTCAAAGCAAAAACATACCCCAAACTTCTGTCTCTAACTTGAGAACTAGCTGGAATGAATAGTAATCAAGAGCCAGAGAAAGTAGTACAGACATATTTATTATTTCTAGAAATACAGAGCATCCTTCAAAGTATATGTAAAATATCTGCATATTTAAGACATAAGACCTTTTGTTTCTGGTGTGTTGCATTGCAAAGAAGACACACAAACCACTGTAAAAAAGTGAATAGTAAAAGTGAGCAGGTGGCTATTTAAACAATTTTCCAATGCAAAGAAGCCATGTAGGAGCCTTAGGGAACAAACTCAACCAACTAACCTGTCATCTCTCCAACAGGTGCCTGGGAGTCTGAGCAATATATTGGCCTAGTAGATGAAGCTCCCAGAGGGGTGGAAATAGCTTGAAGAGGGGCAGTAGATCTGTGGCAAACCATATATGCTTCAAGCATTTCTCCAGTTATTTTTCTTTAAATAAGGAACATTTTATTTGCGAAAGCATTTCAAGAAACAGTGAAGCTGAGATGTTAAAAAGTTCCTAGCTGTCCAAATAGAAACTCATAGGTTAGAAGGACCTTCCCATGAGGCAGCTTCATATATTCACATTTTCAAGCAAAATCTGAAAAGCAGGGGAGGCAGGTGAACACACTCTTGGCTCCTAACATCCACGCTATCTGAATTATCTGAATTCAAATTACTCTGGTAAAGAGTACCTGGAATTTCCTGGCAGTAGACTTCATGGGCTTTTTAATACTAAGTTGTAGGATACTGTAAACTTGCCCAGTTCCCTGAATTCACCTCTTCCCTCTGGCCACGAAGTCTGATCTGGTTGTACCTTCTTATGCAAATCAAGTACCCTTTTACCCAAGCTTATACATGAAGCAAACATTTTCAGTGGGCCAAGTATATTTGACTAAATCAAGGGTGGTTTTTACTGCATCCATCAAAAACAAATGATAACAATGGTCTTAATCAGTCTGTAAAAGATGCACACATGTTATGCTTGTTGGAAAAGACAGATCAGTAGTAAGAACCAGAAAGATAACAATATATTTAAGACCTAGTAAAAACACTGTTGTAAACCACATAAAAGAGAGATCAACACTTAACAAGGCTCAGCTATTGTTGGATTCAGCCCCTGAATTCCCATTTGCAAAGACATTTAGTTTTACTGTTTTTCTTGTTGTTGAAGAGAAAATAAAAAGGGCCCAAACCAATAGATCTTAAATCCCACCCAATCTTAAATCCAAATTTAAAAGACTCTACAGGAGAACATACTACAACTCACTTACTTTTAGGATTCTCTGCCATTAAGATGGCTACTGGCTTCAGTTAGTTTAAAACGAAAGAGAACGCATTCGTGGGGGATGGTACATGGAATGGGCCAAGTGAAATACATTGAACACATTGGTTAAATGGAACCTCTTGGGCCAAAGATTGTGGGCTACTGAATATTAATTGTTAGAAGACAATAGTGGAACAAAAAGAGAATCATTAATTGTGGGTTGGATTTTCAGAAATACATTTTGGAAAGCAAAATTCAGTTATAGACTTGTCCTTTGGTATCATCCAGTAAGTTGTTCTGTTGCATCACATAGCCTTGTGCTATCAGCTAAGGATCAAACTCATATACTCCAATTTTGATGGATTTTTTTAAAAAAAGCTTTCATAACAATGTGCAGGCCTCTTGTCCTTTGAGCTACCAATTCTGCAGCCTCTCCGTTGTTATCCTGAACTGGCTCTGTGTGCTTCGACCATCACTGTACAACGGTTTAGATAAATGTTCACTCTGGGATGTAATCCCTGAATGAATTGAAGCTGAGACTCCTGCCTGCTGAAGTTAGACTTGAATTGGCATGAATTTTGGGGATCTTTTCCATTAACTTAGATGATGCTCGCCTCTTGAAGGACCCTGGGGAAAAATGTCCTTGCTTCATCAGCTCACCATATAAGGTGTTGAAGACCACAGCAGTCTCTTCATAGCTGTCCCTGGTAGAGATCTCATAGAAAGGATGCTTCAGAGCCTTGGAGAGATTTTCTCCATCCTCAAAGGTTACCATTCGGTCAAACTGCAGGTCCTTCTTGTTTCCAACAATCACAACCGGTGGTTCTCCACTGCCACTATTCCGCTTTGGGCTTGAATGGATATGGTTGATGAGAAAGCACAGCCTCATCACTTCATCAAAGCTACACCTGTCAGTGACAGAATAAACTACAGCAAATCCATCTCCCCATTTTATCTTTTCTTCAATTTGGAGAGAATCTTCCTCCTAGTCCAGAAAGAGAAAACACAGATCAGTATAAAAATGGTACTTAAAGGAAGATCAGAATTCCTCTACGCAACTGGTTGTGAAATACACTAATTGTACAACAAAAGTCAGACAGCTCCCAGAAGGGGATTCAGGGATAATAAAAGTTGGAAAGCAGGGGAAAGAAGGGTATCCCTGACTTATATACCGCTTTATAGTGCTTTACCCTCTCTAAGGGGTTTACAGCATCAGCATATTGCCTCCAACAATTTGGGTCCTCATTTTACCCACCTCAGAAGGTTGGAAGGCTGGGCCAACCTTGAGCCTGGTGAGATTCGATCTGCCAAATTGCAGGCTGGTTGCAGCAGAAGTACCCTGCAGTACTGCACTCTAACCACTGCACCACCAAGGCTCTTGAATAGAAACCCCACCCCACTGCTGGAAAAATATTCAAATAATTATTTTCTTTATTGTTTACCACGTTGTTGCCAACACCCTAATCAGAGAGGAAACTGACAATCAGTCAGTCTGCATTTAAAAGCTTACTTTGCATGTGCAAAAGTGATCTACCATTTTTTATGCATAAAGAAAAAAAAAGGTATAAAAATGGGCTTCCAGATAAATAAAACTGAGAAATCCGAGTATATACTGAATGATTCTATTAGAAACTAACCACTTAACAGTATCCTGCTACCTACGATAGACAATAACTGAATGAATATTTAATTCAATTTACATAAATTTGATCTGTTACTTTAAGGATTACAGTATTTCTGCTGCCAAAATGGTAGGGCTGGCTTAATTCAGAATAAGAAAAAAATGTTCCCTTGAAATACAGGATAGCATTAAAAAATGACCACCTAGGAACTAATGTTGCATGATTTGATTTGGTTCTTTAGAGCTAATGTCATTTTAAACTGTAGTAATTAATACTCTCAGCACCTGTGCCAGAAGACCTTTGGGGCATCTTAACAAGGAACAACCAATTGATCAAAGCACAGAGAGGCAACCTGTGTAGCCACAACAAGCTTCACTGATGTTTACAAATTCTTATTATATTTTGCCTCTCTCTGTATTCCAAATTTGGAAGTTGCAGTAAGAGCTCAATAAGGCAAGTAGCCTTTATTTGTTCCATTTTCCTTTTGACAGACAGCATTCTCTGGCTATTCTGCCCAAAACATCTTGTTGAAAACCATCTGATTTTTTTTAGTCACATCTTCTAATTTTTGCAAAGATACTACTTCTTTCTGTCACATGAATGGTTTTACTTCTAAATCCATTCTAATTTCTTACACTCAGTCTTATACAACATCTTTAGTGTTCCTATTTCTTCTTTTTCCTAAGAATTTGTGATTTTGGAATTTTTTTTGTTTATCATATCTTACATGTTAGTTCCTGTCTACTAACTCCATGATTTTATCATGGCTAAGCTTATGTCTGTAACCAAAACCATTATCAATAGGGAGAAAAGTCACCTGATGGAGTTGCTATAATTGTGGAAAAATAGGAGGATGGTGTGATGGATATGCTCACCACCTTGAGCTATTTGTAAAAAACAATAAAGGTGGGATACAAAGTGATAATCTTGGAGTTTGCTAGCATTTGTTTCTCTTCACACAAACTGCATGCATTCTAATAAAGCACATTATAGTTAACAACAATAAAACAACATATTATTAGGGACAAATGCATCTAAAACACCATGTATTACAAAAAATAATGTATAACCCAAACTTATTTTTATACGTTGTTTTTTATTTGTCACATAGTGTATTCATTTCTTATTCTTGAATGTTCAGAGGAAGAGTGATCCATATCTCCCTACCACATAGGCCAAAGATGTAACTCTTTTTCTTACTCCTGCCCCTTGGCATTTTCAGTGCTCACTGCAGTACTTTTCCATTTCTACAGGACCATTCCCCTGCCTCCCTTTTTTTTTTTTTAATAATGAAGCCACTAAAACCATACCTGTCCTGCTGTGTCAAGAATTTCAAAATGAACCATGTCTCCATCTATGATTGCTGTGTGCCTGTAAATCATCTCTGTAGAACAGAAACATTGTGTGAGAAAGCAAACTTAAAAGCTTTTTTTTTTTTAATTAACATGCAATCTTTTGACAGTCTGATGTCTCCAGAAGTCTTGAACAACCTTTCTTTGCTCCCAAGTTTTCTGAAACACGGTAGGAATGTAGTCGAACACATCTGGTGGGCACCAAGTGGGAGAAGACTAACATGGAACACACATTTGGTCTTTAATAAGTCTTAGGATTGTAAATTTCTAGACATTTCTAACACTTTGGTGCTATCATCTTCAGTATATTTATAGTAAAACATACACAAATACAAATTATGAGATGATAAAACTTATAGGACAAAGAAGTGGACTTTTTAAACCAGAATTTGATCTGTATACTTAAACTAATGAGGGTTAGGAAGAGTTGCACAGACAGAACAATGTCATAATAAAAGCTTCTACCATTATTATTTTTTTAAAAGTACCTGACATGGCCTCTAGATGTCCTCTAACAGTTTCCATTAAGTTATTTTAAATACTTGACTCAAGTCATATTAAATGTATTTAACTCATTTAGAGGTTTATTTAATTTAGTATAATTTATGTTTTCTCCTGGCCATGCTGCTATTATTAATATTAACATATTATTCAAAGGTTAAGTATAGTCCTCCACCTAAAATAATTGTATATCCTAATGCTGAATGACAGAAGAATACAAGAGGGGAATTGGAGGAGGCAGTGGTGACATTCCTGAGAATTCACCAAAATGTAAGCACAAAGAGCACTGGAGAAACACAACCATGGCATCATGTTTATATATTTATGGAAATAACGGTTAAGACATAATTGAAGGAAGCTAAGTAGAGGGGGGAAAGGAGGAATGGGTGGCCACTGTTTATAAGGGACTAGGTTTAGAGCATAAAATGTGCAAGACTGAATAAGGAAACATCTGGGAAATCATCCTGCAAGTGGTTTGATATGAAGGCACCAGAGCAATAAAAGCACACACAAATCCCTCCGGTATTCATAAGGAGGGGGGAAAAGCAAAAGAAGGCCCCATCTTGAGAATGGAAATGCAGAATATGGAGGAGATCAAGGAAGCAGGGAAGCTTGTTAGGTGAGGATGAAGCATCAGTTCTAGTTAAGGCAGGTCTCATCCTACCATCACTAATCCACCATCACAGCAATGATGATGGGTAGAAACGGGACTGCAAAAACGTAATGAGCTACTGAGCTGTTCTTTTGCTTCAGTGAAGCAATTCTGCATTCAGCCTGGAGAATCTGTGAAGGTATCAGAAATGTTTGCCATGGGCTTAAAAAGAAAGCATGTCAATAGTGCTATAAAATGAGGCCCTGTCAGGAGGAGAAAGGCAGAAAGTTTACCTGCTTTAAAAAAAAAAAAAAAACATGCCCGGAAGCCATCTTTCTTTCCAATCACTTTGTTCTTTAATGAATTCTCATCTCTACCTTCTGAGTTCCACGTGACCAGGCCACTTCCAGCCACATTCATTCATCTTGGCCCTAAAGGCATTCTTCTTTTTCTCCAAACAAAGAGGGTGGTACCGTACTTAAGAGAGAAGATAAAGGAGGGGAACTGCCATATTCTGCCTAAGCTTAATCTCTACTTTTGAATTTATTCTTCACCTCCTAATTATTCATTGCTACTAAAAAGAAATGAGGAGAAATTTCAGATTCCATTCTTTTCCACCCATAGCACCCGCCAAATAATTAAATTTGTGGTGTGCTAAAATATGTGATGAAGATTTGTTTGGAAATGCATCTCTATCTCTTTAATATTCAGTGGGGTTTATCACTCAGGGATTATATCCTTAGAGCTAGAAAAGAAAAGAAAAGAAAAGAAAAGAAAAGAAAAGAAAAGAAAAGAAAAGAAAAGAAAAGAAAAGAAA